CACCACCTTCCAAACCCAGCCCAGCTTCTCCATTGTCCATCCTCTTCCATCACCTTCCAAACCCAGCCCAGCTTCTCTCATTGTCCATCCTCTTCAATCACCTTCCAAACCCATTCCCAACCCAACTTCTCTCTCGCATTGTCCATCCTCTTCCATCACGTTCCAAACCCATTCCCAGCCCAGCTTCTCTCATCGTCCATCCTCTTCCATCACCTTCCAAACCCATTCCAGCCCAGCTTCTCCCATTTCCATCCTCTTCCATCACCTTCCAAACCCATTCAAACCCAACTTCTCTCTCTCTCATTGTCCATCCTCTTCCATCGCCTTCCAAACCCATTCCCAGCTCAGCTCCTCTCATTGTCCATCTTCTTCCAACACCTTCGAAACCCAGCCCAGCTTCTCCCATTGTCCATCCTCTTCCATCACCTTCCAAACCCATTCCCAACCCAACTTCTCTCTCCCATTGTCCATTCTCTTCCATCACCTTCCAAACCCATTCCCAACCCAGCTTCTCCCATTTCCATCCTCTTCCATCGCCTTCCAAACCCATTCCAGCCCAGCTTCTCCCATTGTCCATCCTCTTCCAACACCTTCCAAACCCAACCCAGCTTCTCCCATTGTCCATCCTCTTCCATCACCTTCCCAAATCAACATTTCCAAACCCCAAATTGACACATTTACACAAAAATCTCCCGCAAATCCATTCCCCACACGGGGGAGGTTTCCCCCACACAGTGAAGGGCGTGGCACCTTCAGGGCCACGCCACGCCACTTGCGGGGCGGTGACGCTGATGTCCCCTCCTTGGTGTCCCCGTGGTGGTGTCCCCGTGTCCCCTCAGCGGACAAGTGCATCCAGAACGTGTACCGGGACCTGCGGCTGCGGCGCAAGAGCACCCAGGACTACATGGGCATCCTGGGCAACCTCATCCTGCGCGACAAGCTGCCCCTGGACGACATCCGCGCCAGCGTCACCGAGATGATGGCCGGAGGGGTGGACACGGTACGGGGCGAGGGGACGGGGCCTGCTGGTGATGGGTGGGACAGGGACAACGGCCTGGGTGGGGCAGGGGAAAGGTCCTGGGAGGGACAGGGAGAAGGGCCTGGATGGTGGTGGGACTGACAGGGAGAAGGTCCTGGAGGGGACAGGGAGAAGGGCCTGGATGGTGGTGGGACTGACAGGGAGAAGGTCCTGGTTGGGGCAGGGGAAAGGTCCTGGATGGTGGTGGGACTGACAGGGAGAAGGTCCTGGTTGGGGCAGGGGAAAGGTCCTGGGTGGGGCAGGGAGAAGGGGCTGGATGGTGGTGGGACTGACAGGGAGAAGGTCCTGGAGGGGACAGGGAAAGGTCCTGGATGGTGGTGGGACTGAAAGGGAGAAGGTCCTGGAGGGGACAGGGAAAGGTCCTGGATGGTGGTGGGACTGACAGGGAGAAGGTCCTGGTTGGGGCAGGGGAAAGGTCCTGGGTGGGGCTGGGTGTGACAGGGAGAAGGTCCTGGGTGGGGCAGGGAGAAGGGCCTGGGTGGTGATGGGACAGGCTGGGAGAAGGTCCTGGATGGGGCAGTGGAAAGGTCCTGGATGGGGCAGTGGAAAGGTCCTGAGTGGGGCAGGGAGAAGGTCCTGGATGGTGCTGGGTGAGTTAGAGAGAAGGTCCTGGTTGATGTTGGGGCGGTCAAGCAGGGAGAAGGTCCTGCCTGGTGATGGGACTGACAGGGAGAAGGTCCTGGATGGGGCAGGGGAAAGGTCCTAGTTGGTGCTGGGTGGGGCAGGGAGAAGGTCCTGGCTGGTGATGGGACAGGATGGAAGAAGGTCCTGGGTGGTGCTGGGTGGGGCAGCACCAAGGCAGGCAGAAGGTCCTGGCACTACTGAGCAGGTCCTGGCAGGGCTGGGCAGGTCCTGGCTGCACCAAGCAAGTCCTGGCAGCTCTGGGCCAGCAGGAACAGGTCCTGGCAGGGCTGGGCAGGTCCTGGCAGCTCTGGGCCAGCAGGAACAGGTCCTGGCAGCTCTGGGCAGGTCCTGGCAGCTCTGGGCCAGCAGGAGCAGGTCCTGGCAGGGCTGGGCAGGTCCTGGCAGCTGTGGCTGTCCCCAGACGTCCATGACGCTGCAGTGGGCCATGCTGGAGCTGGCGCGGGCCCCGGGCGTGCAGGAGCAGCTGCGGGCTGAGGTCCTGGCAGCCAAGCGCGAGGCGGGAGGAGACCGCGAGAAGATGCTGAAATCCACGCGGCTGCTCAAGGCCGCCATCAAGGAGACGCTCAGGTGAGGAGGAGGAGGAGCACAGGTGAGGAGGAGGAGGAGGGGTTCAGGTGAGGAGGAGGAGCTCAGGTGAGGAGGAGGAGCTCAGGTGAAGAGGAGGAGGAGGAGCACAGGTGAGGAGGAGGAGGAGGAGGAACTCAGGTGAGGAGGAGGAGCTCAGATGAGGGGGAGGAGCTCAGGTAAGGAGGAGGAGGAGCACAGGGGAGGAGGAGGAGCACAGGTGAGGAGGAGGAGGAACTCAGGTGAGGAGGAGGAGGAACTCAGGTGAGGAGGAGGAGCTCAGATGAGGAGGGGAGGAGCTTAGCTGAGGAGGAGGAGCTCAGGTGAGAAGAAGGAGGAGCTCAGGTGAAGAGGAGGAGCTCAGGTGAGGAGGAAGAGGAGAAGCTCAGATGAGGGGGAGGAGATCAGGTAAGGAGGAGGAGGAGCACAGGTGAGGAGGAGGAGGAACTCAGGTGAGAAGGAGGAGGAGAAGCACAGGTGAGGACCACAGGTGAGGAGGACACACCCGCCCTCCCTGCAGTGTCCCCAAAGCCCTGGTGGCATGTGTCGTGCAGGCTGCACCCGGTGGCCGTGACCCTGCAGAGGTACACCACGCACGAGGTCATCCTGCAGGACTACCGCATCCCACCTGGGGTGAGGGACACGGGGACACGGGGACAGTGGGGACATGGGGATGTGGGGACATGGAGATATGGGCATGTGGGGACAGGGGATATGGGGACATGGGGACAGGAGACTGTGGGGACATGAGGATATGGGGACACAAGGATGGAGGGACATGGGGAGATGAGGATGTGGGGACACCAGGACACAGGGATGAGGGGACACGGGATGTAGGGAGGTGGGGACGTGGTGACACGGGGATGTAGAGACACGAGGACTTGTGGACATGGGGATGCAGGAACATGAGGACATGGGGACAGGAGGACATGGGGACATGGGGACACAGGGACATGAGGACATGGGGACATGGGGACACGAGGACATGAGGACACGGGGACATAAGGACGTGGGGACATGGGGACATGGGGACGTGGGAACATGAGGACGAGGACACAGGGACGTGGGGACACAGGGACATGAGGACACGAGGACATGAGGACACAGGGACATAAGGACATGGGGACACGAGGACATGTGGACACAGGGACATAAGGACGTGGGGACATGGGGACATGGGGACACGAGGACACAGGGACATGAGGACACAGGGACATAAGGACATGAGGACATGGGGAACACAAGGACATGAGGACATGGGGACATGAGGACATAAGGACACAGGGACATAAGGACATGGGGACACGGGGACGTGGGGACACAGGGACACGAGGACACGAGGACATGAGGACATGAGGACACGAGGACACAGGGACGTGAGGACATGAAGATATGAGGACATGAGGACATGAGGACATGAAGATATGAGGACATGAGGACATGAGGACACAGGGACATAAGGACATGGGGACACGGGGACACGGGGACATGGGGACACGAGGACACGAGGACATGAGGACACAGGGACATGAGGACATGAAGATATGAGGACATGAGGACACAGGGACATAAGGACAGAGGGACATAAGGACATGGGGACACGGGGACACGGGGACATGGGGACACGAGGACACGAGGACATGAGGACACAGGGACATGAGGACATGAGGACACGAGGACACAGGGACATGAGGACATGAAGATATGAGGACATGAGGACACAGGGACATAAGGACACAGGGACATAAGGACACGGGGACACAGGGACGTGGGGACACGGGGACATGAGGACACGAGGACATGAGGACACGAGGACATGAGGACATGAGGACATGAAGATATGAGGACATGAAGACACGAGGACATGAGGACACAGGGACATGAGGACACGAGGACATGAGGACACGAGGGCACAAGGACACGGTGACGCGATGCCCCGTCCCCGCTGTGTCCCGCCCGCAGACGCTGGTGCAGGTGGGGCTCTACGCCATGGGCCGCGACCCCGACGTGTTCCCGCGGCCCGAGCGCTTCCGCCCGCAGCGCTGGCTCGCCGCCGGCCCCAAGCCCTTCCTGGGGCTCGGCTTCGGCTTCGGGCCGCGCCAGTGCCTGGGCCGCCGCATCGCCGAGCTGGAGATGCAGCTCTTCCTCATGCACGTGAGTGTCCCACCGTCCCCACCGCAGGGGACGGCGTGGTGGCCATGGGGGACATCCCATGGGGTTCCCAATGTGAGGGGACAGCGTGGTGGCCATGGGGGGCATCCCATGGAGTTCCCAATGTGAGGGGACGGCGTGGTGGCCGCAGGGTTCCTCCCATGGCGTCTCTGATGTGAGGGGACAGCGTGGTGGCCGCAGATTTCCTATCATGACGTCTCTGATGTTCGGGGACCGCGTTGTAACTGTGGGGTCCATCCCGTGGAGTTCCCAATGTGAGAGGACAATGTGGTGGACACAGGGTTCCTCCCATGGCGTCTCTGATGTGAGGGGACAGCGTGGTGGCCATGGGCTCCATCCTCATGGGCAAGGGGACAGCGTGGCTGTAGGATCCATCCCATGGGGTCCCCACCACAGGGGACAGCGTGGTGGCTGCAGGGTCCATCCCATAGAGTCCCCGATGTGAGGGGACAGTGTGGTGGCCGCAGGGTTCCTCCCACGGGTCTCTGATGTGAAGGGACAGCGTGGTGGC